ACTAGTACTCAATATGAGTATACTACTAGTTTACACGTCACTAGCACTAACTTCAATGATTGATATGCGTACGGCGGTATTCAATGACACTCAATGTCAGTGTGCCATGCGAGGAACTCGGGAGGCGTCACATTCTCGAAAACTAATCATGTATACCTATCGCAATTGTGAACTCATCTCAACTACTATTCGTATAGCCCATAGTGACAATATTTATTTTGCTTTTATTAATCGCACAATTGACTTCTACGGGTTTAAAATCAACGCGAGTCACGCCTTGGCGCTCACACGTGGGTATCCTTCAAAACTGACTCGGGAATTCATCTGTATCATTGTACCCACATAGAAAGACGAATATTGTAATGACTAGTCAGATTTTATCAAAACAGCCACATATTTTGGTCGATCAACTAATCTTTGCTATTATTCAATTTGCGTCCCTTATAGCATGGAACTATGCTTATAGTGTACAATTATTACATGTGTTATCGTAGCGACATCACGTACGCACTATTGTTTAGAATCAACAACTTGGAAGATTGTTATAAACATATTTTACAGAAATTCGATAATAGATTGTTTACTTATTGTATTTAGTAGTGACAACTTTTGCAAGGTTTTAACCGTGAGACACATCCCTGTAATCACGTGATCGTGCCAATTGATCACATGTTTACTCTGCCACGCCTTAGAGATTTTTTGGATTGGTTTGTAACACTTCGTAACCGAAGTAGGAGAGAAGTGGACAGCGAGGGGTTACCTCAGCTGACCGTTTGGATGAATAAAGCTGGACTATCTGTAATGAACTAATATGTATTCCTTTGGGTCGAATCAGGTATCTCTAAGTGTAAGTGCTATCAGCTATGTGAGTCAAGTTCCCTGAACACAACGCAAATGTTCACAACACGTGCAACACGTGTTAATACTATTTCGATGCGTTTTTACTTATTTACTTTACGTTCACAAACACCGTATTTCATAATGCAAGTGATATTTATTAATATGATGTTAAGATATCAATATAATGCTACAGATACTCATTTGATAATTCTATATAATAGTATAATGGTAGTATATAGTCATCCGTCATAATTCAGTTACATCCATCGACATTGTATGCCCAGTCACAGCAAGTGCACTGTGGATTGAATACAGTGCCCGGACCGCAGTTTCTGTCATAACGGTATCCATTAGCACATTGTATGTATTTATTGCAGTCGTTCGGATTGCGATATAATCCACTCGGTGAAGTTGCACAATCTATTTCGTTCGGTTCAGTAGCTGCAATAAAAACAGCAATATATTGATGTTCAACTTCCTCTTACAATCTAACTCACTATTATATTGTTAACGACATGGTTCAACTTTGACACAGTTGATTTTTCTGATTGAGAAATCGATAATTATCGATTTAATTTCAAATTAAATATGTAAATCATGACCTTTGATATGTTGGATTCGTTTGTGCGTGTCACAACTTTTCAACACTTTCTGGCAGTCAAACTTAATTGTTTTTACGCCATTCAGTCACATTTCAAAGATGGTTTTACTAAGGGCGTGATTTCGGCATGTGTCGGGACTATTGTGTTGTGGGGAAAAACATAATTGAAAGCCTTTTTGATTTCGAGTAACCTGGTCAAAAATCAAATCTGAAATTCACGACATTCAAGATATACTGGTCAAAAACATAACATATTATGCCATCTATTGGTTGAGTTATTATTTGTATTGTTCGAATTTTACTTGTGATGTGCGCTAAACCGAAGACACTAAATAATATTAGAACATAATGGCTACACAGGAAACAACACAAGTATCACACTAATCTAAAAGAGCGGCAGTCGTCGTGCCGCGTCCTGTTCGATATGGGACTCATAGCGACGTATACAACGCGTGTAAAATACATTGTTTATTTACATGAAATTCGAACACGCGCTGCGCGACGACCACCGCGCTTTAATTGAAACTGCTTTACATTGAATATTGATTTTATAATATTGCCTATCTTCGATCATGAACAGATAACCCTTTATGTGATTCGTTAACTTGATGACACCCTAAGATGCTGAAAACTCAATTACAACTCAATCCAATATTCGCCTACTGGCAAGGAACTTCTGAAGATATCTTGTGGAGACCGTAGGTATTGCATTTATTACAGTATACATACTACTTGACATGTCAAAGGCCTTAAAGCAAACACTCGCCGAAAATACAACTTTAAACTCAGCAAGAGTGGATGTCTGCGTTCTGTTGGAACCAAATGTGTCGAGATACAATGCATGTAACGTGGACAAACATAATCACGTTGAAGTACTGTTAGCAGTGACCCAATCATTCTTAGACATAGTGATGACACCAAACACGTAATTCTCAGCATTTTACTCATTGCTAGTTACCGTACTACATGGATGAAATGTAACACTCGAAATCATGGGTTCGCGCTCGATTTACAGACTCTTGCCAAAAGTGTGGCATTATATCTGTATGAGAGATAAAGTACGTGACTATAGTACCTATCTACACCATCCAGGCACATAACTCACTGAGAGGAGAGGAGGAGAGTGAAAAAACACAATCTGAATTGGGATTAACGAATCATTCACAGAAACAACTATGGTACCGCTGTATTGATATCACTAGAAGCGAATTGTTGTGACACTGCTTGGGTTACTGAGATAAGCACAGAGTTGTTACCTAGGTAACCAAAGTGAAACAAATCTAGTCAATTAGTGTATAACTGTAGTACGATAAGCGAATTAAATAACAAATAACATTACACGTTAACAAAATTGTTTTCTCACCTGGTTTCTGGGTTGTGACAAGTGTTGTGGTGCGTGATGCAGTTGTAGTTGGTTCACGTGTTGTGGTGTGCGATGCAGTCGTAGTTGGTTCACGTGTTGTGGTGTGCGATGCAGTCGTAGTTGGTTCACGTGTTGTGGTGTGCGATGCAGTCGTAGTTGGTTCACGTGTTGTAGTTGCCGCTGTGGTTTGCACAAATTCTTCAAATGTAGTGGTCGATTTATCAGTAACTACATCGATAGTTACTAATTCATCTTTTATGTGATTTAGCAACGGGGACGTCGCACTGCCTTGGTTGCAAATGCCATTGAAGTCGTCTAAATCCATAGCCCATACCATCGTCCCAGCCAATTGTTCTTGTTTGATCCAATTGAGCTGTCGGATAAAACAAACTGTAACACAGTTTGAACAAAAAGACTAAAAGAAAGTAAAATTGGACAACCCTAAGGGTGTTATCTGCAAAATATATTCTGAACGCTTCAAACAGGCTGTTTTATGTTGACTTTTGGGAAACTAGCTTTATATTTTCTCACTCAAAAAAATCAACTGAAAAAGAAAGAAAAACAGATTTCAAAGTAAAACCTTTTCTACCAGTCTGATTGAAATTCGATGAACGTATATGTACAATTAAAAAAAATATTTTTGTTTATTTATGAATACATTTTAGGTATCACTTGTAGTTATTATAAGTAAATAAATAAATAAATAAATAAATAAATAAATAAATAAATAAATAAATAAATAAATAAATAAATAAATAAATAAATGAATAAATGAATGAATAAATGAATTAATGAATTAATGAATGAATGAATGAAAACAATAAAAATAAAAGAAATGAATGAATGAATGAATGAATGAATGAATAAATAAATAAATAAATAAATAAATAAATAAATAAATAAATAAATAAATAAATAAATAAATAAAAAAAATAAAAAAAATAAAATGGAGCCTACATCGAATTATAATCAGATTGGTTTGAAACAAAACTAATGTGTTACTTTTATCGTCACTCTTGTGGTGGTGAGTGTGTGCCCTCTAGTGGTAAGACACGTTTTAGTTGTTGGTATTTGTTTTGATACAAACCTTAGCACTGAAGCTAACCAAGTCGTCATAGCCTATCCATTCGTTTCCATTCACAGCATATGGCACGCTTTGCTCGGTATCCCAATATCGAGTTGCCCCGTTCTCCACCAATTGGCATATCTATTAACAAATTATATAGATTGTGTAGAGTTGATTGAACTCATCGTAGACAATGAGTAATTAGACATTTGATAAATTTGATGGCCGTAGAGCGAAACGTATAATATTTCGGGCGTCGTAGTGTGTCCTGGAGATGATGCTCACGTGCAGCTGAGCCACTCCGATAACGTCCGTAGATTCCACTTGATAAGATAAGATCGTACGGTAGCAGTAATAATGTAGGTGTAATTTACCTCATAATATGCGAGAAATCCTGCTTCGCCAGTATAAGGACCGGCAGTTCCAGGTCCACTAGCCGGTGCTCCCATTCCAGTGTTTGATGAGGATAATTTAAAATGTCTTCCATATGTAGGCATGCCAACGATTAGCTTTTCTTTCGGACAACCACCATTCAGCCAATTATTCACTGCCCATTCCTGGACGTATATAATTGAATAATATATTCATAATGTGCAGATTACAATGGGTCACAGTCACATTAGCAAGTAAGCAAAAAATGTCAACGATTGTAGCTAGCATGATTGGTTCCATTCCACCAATGTACGTTATTTATCCATTTATATCAGTCTCATATTAATAATAATATCAATGATTATTTTGACATACCACATTTAATGTTGCATCAGTTCCAGTAGCCCCATTCTGTGCGTGTAAGGGGCTATTATGTCCTGTCGTCGTATCCCATGCTCCGTTTAAATCGTATGACATCACACCGATCCAGTCCAAAACCCTGCAAAAAATTATTTCATAAACGTCACGAAACGAGGTATCATCATGGTCCGTTGTTGATCAGATGACGCCTATATAACAGACTCCTATTTGAAGAGCTCTGTTCGACCATGAAAATCATCTTGAACGAACACGGTCCAGGTTGCAACCTCTCACGGCTGTAATACTACCAAAACACTATAACCATTTATCGGTTGAGTTCAATTGTTCAAATATTCCGCTAAAAATAATATGTAACTAGCATGCAACTAGCGTGCCTATCAATACTTGTGCGTTATCAGCTACACCCCAGTTTTCAATCCCCCGCGACCGTGTACGATGTCCTGAATCGTTCATCGATAGTAAATGTGTAGCTACTCACTGGGATATTTCATTGATTTCATAACCACCGGAAACGGTTTCTTCTCCCGCAGCAACGGCAGCGGTCAACAGAAGCTTTTCTTTACCTACAGGTATGATCTCTGATTCAATAGCGTTTCTGAATTCCTGGCAAACACAAAAATTAAATTACGCGCGTTTTTATCTGTTGAAAAATATCAATCATTAAGACTACATATAGTGTATGTGTACGATTATTAATATCAGTTCTAACTAAAAATAATGACCAAATCAGCTTATATTTAACGATACTGGCAAACATGTAGAGACATTTTCCTACAGATTTAGCAAATATAACATTTAGTAAATTCTATTACAGTCTGTGTCTCTGTCCGCGCGTTTTTTTACTGGTGTACTGCCCTCAGCGGATATCCTTTTAGCGTCGCTGCGCTCCTGTATATAATAATAATAAGTACTGCTGAGGGTTGTACACCAGTAACGTGACGGCAGAAATAATAATAAAAAAATAAATAAAAACGCGCGCGGACAGGCTGTATTAGCAGTAGTGCTTTTTAAATTGCAGTTGGACAAAGACAAATAACGTAAATAAAACCAAAAACGGTAACGTTGATCTATGGGACCGATTTTGCAAATAAGCAAGTCTCGCTGGTTCTCGCCACAACAGGTTAAAATTCCGCTATCAGCCCAAAGCAGAAATACAGCACACAACAAAGTTGAAAACTACGTACTAACAAAATACCACAAGTCGAATTAGTCCTGGACAGAATACAGGTAGTCAGCAATGACAGTACGCTGGTTCAATGTATGATAACGATATTTTGTAATGTTGAGGAACGTACGTATGTCGCCCAACGGATCGTGCTCGAATAAAGGTGTATATATCACCATAACAACAACATGTGTGCGGGGAACTAGAAACCAAATTCCAATAGCAAGTCGTATTGAACGTTGTGAACGAATCCCATTAACAGTCAGCATTGGAAAGTATTATTGCAGCTAATAGCTAAACTACAGCGCATACTATCCCATCACTGCTTCACATTTGGTCAAATACCAGCAGTGTCTCAGTTGTAATCGTATTCCAATTTGAGCCTCGCATTGATATGCTGCATATACAGTATAGTCAAACTGATTTGATTTGAGCTGACTTACCTGTAGCAGTAAGGTGAATCTGTGCTTGTCCTCGGGCGGGCTACCTCGTGCAGCAGGGTACTCCCAATCAACATCAAATCCATCAAAATTATGAGCGCGTAAAAAACTGATAGTGCTTGAGATAAAGTGTTGTCTATTGGCTGGAGTGGACACCATAGCCGAAAATTTCGCCGTCCCAAAATTCCAACCACCGAGAGCAATCAAGGTACGCAGGTCAGGATTGATTTGTTTCAGGTCATTGACCTTTTCCCACATGCCCTAAAACAAACATCAATTTATTTCAGTATCTACTTTGACTGTTGTGTGAACATATATTGTTTTGTGAGTATATTTTCCCCAATATTACGAATAGTAGTATTGCAACATTTATCTTAGCCTGATTTCGTATATGTACATGTTATGATTACGAGAACCATATGTGTGCGAGTTGGTACTGTTTATCAAATTACAAACAAGCTACAAATGAATGAAGGAATGGGTGTTATGTTTCTTTTTTACACTTCTCACCTTCGACCAATCAGTGGATTCATCGTTCCACTCATAAGCAATAATCTCATGGTCAGTATTCATATTGGCAAAGGCATACACGATATGTGTACACAGGTAAGGGTCGATGTCCTCAGGCTTGAATGAACCAATCCCTGGGCGGTATTGAGCCCAGTTTGAATAATAACATACTCGCTTAAAATTACCGTTAGCATCTGGAAGGAAACAAGCGAAGAGGTAGTGACCATTTGATAGATCCGGGGAATGGTACTATAATATGAAGAACATTGACTGAAATAGGTACAGGCATTGCGTACATGATTCATGGATGAATACGTTGCAATTGATTTCAAGAATACATTTGTTCATGAATTGTTGACCGGATTCTGGTTAATCGTATAGGTCTCTAGTGTCGGATGTATTTAGTGTACCAACCTTGTTGATGGCTAGCGGCAACTGAGATAAATATTAGTAAAAATGTAAGCCAAGTCATCTGTGAGTAAGCAAAATACAGTTTGACATTAATAACGTTGTTTTCGATAGAGACATCGGCCTGTTGACTTGTTATAATTAACAGGGCATATTGATCCGTGGTACATCGTGGCCATTCTAGGATGTAAACTCGTTCTTACAATTAAATAAATACAACATTAGTATATTAGGCCCATTTTATATGATATTTCAATCGTGTGCATGTGACGCAAAACATAATACATTGCCAAATATTTTGATTTCAATTATTTCCATGGGATGGCAAATTTAGTATTGTTTGGCAAATTTTTAATTCATTAACTGTATCAGTGTGTTTACATTTCCACGAATTAACATTATGGCATTTTACGTCTGTCAAATAACGGCCAAATAAATACGTGGAATCAATAATTACTAAGGACCTGGCGTAGAATTGGAAATTACTCCAAATAAACAAATCTCCAATTCGGTAACAGGATAATAGTATATTTGGTATTGATAAAATAATAGGGCGCCACCAGACGGTCTGGCTTAGCAAGTGCGTCGTGTTTCTCTCATGAGGGTTGACGCTGATTGTGCACAAAGGAAGCTGCTCATCCCGCCATTAGATGGCGGCACATCGTGTATGTGGTGTTTAAAAAGGACGTGTAGATGATCCGTGGTACGTCGTGACCAATAATAAAATGGTTGGTTGTCCAACTGTGGGCGTGTCTTTTATTTCTGTGCTAAATGTGCAACACCAAAGTCCCACCATTTATTTTTCATTGTCTGCATCAGTATCGCGAGTTCTAAGTTTACTATGTTGGTCGCTCGACACCATATTCACCGCCTCCCTCTCGGTACCGACGCCCAACTCGGCGTCCTGGGGAAGAAATCTACTCACCACGCCACGCCACCTCGATACCTCTTCTTCCCGGAAACATGCTTTCCAATACGAGACTGATTTCTCTATAAGTTCGGCCATTTAAAATCATATTCTGGACAAGATTTTTATCAATTAAATGGTCTGCTTCCATTGCTGCTTCAAATCATTCAGAAAATGGCAGCGCAAAAACCGCGCAAATTCATTTACCGCCACTTTACAGCGGTTTTCACACAGAGACCAGTTAATTCCGTCACCCAATGGCTGAAGCAATTTCACATCGACCACGACCAGACACACCCCAAAACAGCTGACGAGATTTGACGGGATCGGCCAATGCGCATGCGTATCAGCCGGTACTAATATCCTAATTTCCTAATAATTTATTTTGCACTCGTACAAATGCAAAATACATATTTGATAGGTTGGTTGGCCATCAAGTACCATCCTATGGTATCCAATTCATGTATCACCAATATCTTACCATAGTACAGAGTTATGTTAACAGCGAGTCAAAAATAAGACTAATATACTAAATATGTATTTAATTAATTCTAAGAATGATATTACATTGTGAAAAGGCCACGATGTACCACGGATCCATATTTCGGCCGTAAACTCTGATGATGAAAGCGGGGATAAAAGCTATCATGAGTGACGTCAATGAAACTTATGTTGATATTGAAAGTTACTTTGTTGCAATGATGTACTCGAAACCCTACGATCAGGACTAGGATAACACCATTCTCGCCGCCAGAGTTTATTTCCGCTTCGAGACTCGACTCGACTCGACTCAACTAAACTAGGAGTTTCCACGTGTAATCCCATGCATCGTAGTCAGCTCACTGGGGGTGCTTATAGTCAGGTGTTTTCGTTTGTTTTCCTTGAAAATAAATTATGGAATTGGAGTTACCACCGCAGGAAACAAACGATTTTTTTGCGTTCAATGAATTAATCGGACTCAGAAAGTAACTAAAAAAAATGTATGTATCTAGAAAATGTGCGATAATTCACCATGGAACAATATACTCGTGATAGTGATTTATAACCAAGTATATAGGCCATGCATAGTATACAATCGTATTCGATGTATTTACTTTGTAAATTTTCATGTGGCTTGCCAATTTTTAAGTAGCAGACCATTTTTTTTTTCAAATAGCGGAGAGATTTTCGATTAGCGGGACCGAAACCATACTAGCCAATCGTTTGTAATACGAGCCACCATATATGTGCATACTCGCATTTTGTGCATTCTCGTAAATAACTTTGCTACTCTATATATATACAGGTATATTTGATTAGTTATTTTTGGAGTGTGTGTGGCAGCGGGCCTTTAGTCAGCCATCTGTCACAGACAGGCATACAATTTACAATTTTATTTTACAGGCTAAATTTCTACAAATTTCTGTCAAATTTCTGTTTTAGTCAGCCATCTGTCACAGACAGGCATACAATTTACAATATTATTTTACAGGCTAAATTTCTACAAATTTCTGTCAATTTTTTATTAAACATTTCAGGTTTTACAAAATAGCTCTAAATAGCTACAGACCAGCAACTATTGGCTTGAATTTCAATATAGATTTTAAACAGGGACTTTTATTTTTCTGACTAAACCTTGTTTAGCAGCCAAGCGAGTTTGGTGCAATAAAACTGGACGAAAGGTTATAAATCTACTTGTTTAATGTGATACCAGAACAAGCAATCCTCTGGCTCAGACAAACCACGCTTTACATTTTTTTTGTCGGCACCTGGCTCTTTGGGTCTGTGTGTAAAAATAATCATGCCTTTTTACAAGGTCGTCCATGGGAGTTTAAAAAGGACAATTCCCCGGGTTTCAAACAATTACGTACATGAGACAATAAGTTTGAAACACGTATCCTCAAAATATTGTAAGACGCATTGTGTGTTAAATTATATCCAAATACCAACTATTTACATACGCATATCAATATAACTACGTTGCGACGGGAATTTAGTAAACGCAAAGAATGGTAAAATGCGTTCGAATTGACCGTGCGCAGTGTTTCTTAGAACTTTGTAAACGCGTCGCGTGCGCGTCACGGTGACTGTACATTTGAATCTGCATTCAGTGCGCAGAGACTTTTTCTAGAATCTGTTTTCAAATATCGATCAGTACAATATTTTCGTCACGTACGATGTTTCGTCGTGTTTTTGAAAGTGTTGGGAAAACATGGGAACATTTTACTCATGGGGGAGAGGCAGGGTCACAGCCGTGGGACAGTGAACTGAACAAACACAAACGAGATATTATGATGCATGCAACTGCTCTCGAAGACGGTTACGATAACGAGGTAAAGATCGATGCAATCCAAAAAATTGGGTATCTTGCATGCACAGGTAAGGCATTTTACGGGGGAAGCCACGAAAAATGGTAGAGATATGCTGTTTAGTGAATCCCATGTATTACGGTCGATAGGTTCTAAAAAGAAGCAGTTTTCAAAATAAGCGATTATTTTTGCCCGTGTGGCAAACGTCTGCATGTCATTCGCGTTGGAGCCGTTTATCTCTACGTGCATTTGTTGTAGGGACTGGGGTAACATTTACATCGGAGCTTGGCGCCATCTCAACACAGCCATATTAACGGTTATTGTGCTTCTCCGAAAACACCACGTCCCCAGCGAAGTGACGTGGCGGAAAAATAACATTTTTATAGAAATAGAAATCAATACCTTATATCCGTTCCAAAAATAAATGGCATCTATGTTTCCAAAGACGTTCAATGAGCAGGTCTCGTCCGTCTATACATCGGATATATTCTATATACTCAAGCTAATAAATATTAATGCAACATATTACCATAGAATAAATATTCATAATACCGACTTAATAAATCGTGCCATTAACGAAATAATGTATCTTTATAATAAATAAAATACATATTATGTTAATTTGAAATATTTGTGTATTAGAATAATTTTACTACAACAATGAAAATCCAGCAGCGTCAATATATTGAATATATCCGAAGCAGACACCCAAGGCCGAGAATTTGAATATTAATTTTACAATGACGCGTTATATGAATATTCATTATATATTGAATGTGTGGTTCCTTTGAGAACCAGTTATCAAAAAGAAACTTTGACACAGCAGTTTGCGGGGATTGAAAATTTAATGGGATTATAGGTAAATTGTACCATTTATTAATAACCGTCGGCTGCCGCATCTACAAATTTGCGTCCATCAATGCTCTTATAGTCGTCATGCTTTATTAGCGTAAATTATCATATGTTTTGAAAGTATAGTTCAGTTAATCCCTACTTCTTGTTTATTTAAACGCTTAAAATTCCTCTGTTACATTGATCAGAGCATAAAGTCTAAATACAGGACGAAATACTAGCAAGCTCACACATAGCAAACACCTACCAGCTCTACGAACAAGTGATATGACACATGTCATGTCTTGTATGTATCAGGTAATAACCCCATATTATCATACGTGTAGACCCGTTTTAACCTAGATGTGACGTCACATTGAAGTGAATTTAATTAATTCAAAAAACTGTCATGTGTGTGATGTGGTACTACTTCCAGAGTTAATACGGTCAGAATTACCGCTACAGTAAGCAAATTTGTAATATATTGAAGTATGCACGAAATGTAGGATGTAAATGCTACATGTACCGAGTACAACTATTGATATATTCATGTACCGTATTGTTAATTTATGTACACCGACTCGAAGAATTTCTCCCAACGTCTGCCCCACTATATGCCGCCAGTTCACCGGCCGGCTCGTATGATTTGAATCATTGTTCGTACAACACCACTGGGATTTAACCAACAGACACAACGAAAACTTTAAATTGCACACAAACAAAAGTACATGATGGTGTGTTATTGGAAATAATAACCATGTTATTGAGCCTTACTCGGCGAAGTATTGTGTTTCATCTTTAGACGAACAGGCAAAATAATTCACGTGAGGCATATAATGATATTGTTAATTACATGATCGACTTTGAGTCTCTGCTCCGTAAAATATATTAGATGTATTCAATTTATTTGGTACAATAAATATTCATGCATGTATTGCCATTATTATTCAACTTTCCAACCCCAATTTCCCCTATTTCTGTTTTTGCAAAAAAATATCGAATATGTCGACATTAGTGATAACTATACTTAAT